CCTCGGTAGACGGTGGTGGGCGGTGAGAGTGTTTTGGGTGGGGGGAGGAAGAGGAGTAGCGGGGGGAGACACAAGGGGGGGAAATAGGGGGGGGGGGGGAGCGGATAGGCGAATAAGGGGAGCTGAAGCGGAGGTAAGTGTGGCAGGGCAGGTGAAGCGTGAGGTCCTCACCCAACAACGGCACAGTCCTGGCCTAACAACCGCCACCAGGACTACTGAAACTGCCGTTGCTAAGTGGCGCAATCATGTGATTTTTCACCTAATGAATGAATCATTTAGTGATGGAAATTCCCATCCCAATTAGGATTGTTAAGTGAGGACTACCTGTATACCACTTGCTTTTTTTCACTGTTAAGAGTGTGAACTTTTGAGTAAATGTTACGTTGCAAAATCTTAAGGCTACAATGATGTTAATTTTGCTTCAAAATCTACCCACCCACCCCTATCCTTTCTGATTACAGCAATTATTCAGTTATTTGAATATTTCTGAATAATTGTTCTCACTTTGGTTGTTTATTAGGAAAAGTTTGACTTACCATCTGCAGGGTGGACATGAGAATTGCCAATCTGATCTACCAGCAGCATAAAGACAAAGCCAAGAACAAGGGAAACACCAATGTAAGCATGTAATCTTGAATGGTCATGGCTGTGGTTATGATCATGCACATCTGGAACATCTGCTTTCTCAGATCCAATCACCTTTTGACTCTCACTGACTGGGTGGTGCTTTGCTAAAGGAAACCAAAAAGAACAATTGAAATTAGAGTTGCAGAAGTCTCAATTCCTAACATATTAAAAGCCAAATCAAAATGTGCTCCAGGGCATTTTTAATTTTAAAAGGGACCATTCAGTTTTCAGATCTTGTAATTTTTTTAGAATAAGATTTATTTAAAATTGATCAGAAACATATTTTAATTAAAATGATTTCAATGTAACATCTTGACATTTGTTTTAAATTCAAATAACTGAATAAAAGCAAAAGTGTACATCTGCAGGCATAACAAGCAGATAGGAATCTGAATTTCTAAAGACTAGTAATAAGCATTTTGGGAAAAATGTCTCCAATGTCTAATGGAAGCCCTCTTTTTATTGTACTCACTTTCTATTTTTGGCAGAATATTTTATGGTTCAGATGAATCTATAGCCATGTGAAAAAGTAAGCATCCCCCATTGAAATCTTTTCCTTTTTCAACATATAGATATTTGATCTTTATTTCAGCAATACTGATAAAGGGGATATAATGTAAGAAATATCATGCACCATTTACATGTCGTAGTCCATTGTGTAATTTAAATAAACATAAACGTATGTGGAAAATGTAAGTATATCCCTACATTTATCACTACCTCAAATACCTAAAATGAGGACTGGGTGCACCAGATCAGGTACAAATGATTAAAACATTGCCAGAGAGAATCTGGGAGGAACCTGTCTTATTGAAATCTCAGACATTTAGTTTGATTTGCTCTTTGTTGCTGAAGTGTGTGGTACAACCATGCCTAGATCAAAAGAAAGAAGGTTATAGATGTCTATGAGTTTGGGAAAGGATTTAAAAAGATTGCCAAACAACTGGACATCTATCATTCCACTGCCCAGGAGATCATCTACAAGTAAAGATTTCAAACAACTGCCAACTTGCCCAGGCCAGGCCGTCCCAGTAAGTTCAGCTTGAGAGCAGAACACAAGTTGCTGAAAGAAGTCTCTAAGAACCCCAGAATTTCATCATGTGACCCACAGATCCCTCTCACCACTACTGATGTCAAAGTGCATGAGTCTACCATTAAAAAGAAGCTGCACAAATTAGATCTAAATGGGAGGTGTGCCAGAAGGAAACCTTTGCTGTCCGGAAAGAACTTCAGGGCAAGACTAAAGTTTGTTCATGAACGCCTAGACAAAGACCAGGACTTCTGGACAAACACGGAAAAAATAGAATTATTTGGCCACAGTTCCAGGAGACATGTTTGGTGAAAACCAAAGACAGCATTTCACTAGAAGAACCTGATACCAACTGTAAAGCATGGTGGTGGAAATGTTATGGTTTGGGGCTGCTTTGCTGCATCAGGGCCTGGGCAACTCAGCATCACAGAATCCACTGATGAATTCTGCATTGTATCAGAGGGTGCTTGAGGATAATGTGAGACCATTTGTCAAAAAACTGAAGCTCAGTCTAAAGTGGACCTTGCAACATGACAATGCCCCTAAACATTCCAGTAAATCCACCAAGGAATGGTTGAAAAAAAAAGGAATGGAGGGGTCTGGAATGGCCAAGTCGAAGCCTGGATCTAAATCCCACTGAGATGCTATGGGATGATTTGAAATAGCTGTGCATGCAAGAAAAAACAAAATGCAAATCATGCATATTTGTTATTTATATAGCCACTCAGCCACTTTGTGTGAGATGGGCGGTTATATAAATGTAAGCAAGCAAGCAAGCAAGCAAATTCCCTTTATCAATATTTTTGAAATGAAGATCCAATATCCATATGTTGAAATATGTTGAAAAAGTCAAACATTTCAATGTGGTGTACTTACTTTTTCACATGACTATACTTCCCATATGGCTAACTGAACAATTATGGTAGTGAACAACAAGAGCCCACTTTTTTTTAGATATCCAAATTATAAGAAACATGATAAGAAACACAGAATGAATGCTAGAAATATGCTTTGAAATGGCCACTATTCTCAGTTATCACATTGTGAATCAGCCACTATGCATGGCCATTTTGCATGACTGCTCCAGGGAGCCTGACAATTTAGTCACAGTTATATATTCCATCTTCAAATATACCAACCAGAGTGCCTCTATTAAATTTCAAATTTAAAACTTTATTAAAATGCATAAAGGTAGTCTTCGACTTATGACCACAATTGGACCGGAATTTTGGTCACTAAGTGATGCAGTTGTAAAGCGAAACATTGCATGACCGCATCACTTAGCAACCACCATCCCAGCAATCCCAGTTGCCGTTGTTAAATGAAAATTGTGGGTTGTTAAGCGAGTACCCACCCCAATCCAAGCCATTCCAGACTTGGTCCTTCCCAGCCCCAAGCCTCAGTAAGGTAAAGGACTGTCTCCAACTCCCTCCATCTCTGCCCTTCTGGCCACCCTGCACCCTGCCTTGCGGGGTAGCAAGTAGCCTCAGAACACTGCAGCTCTGGGGCTGCTTGCCACGCCCTGGAAGCCACAGCCGCAGCCGCCCCAGCCCAGTCACCCTCACCACCCTACACTCTGAGACCCCTGCTGCCCTGTGCTCTGCCGCCTCAGCTGACCTTCGCCATCTTCTTGCTCCTGCTCCTGACAAGGCATGCCTGGCCTCGCCGCCTGGCCACCACAGGCCGGGGTGGGTTTTTTGATTTTCAAAAAAAAAAAAAAGCCAACAGCAGCCCCAGAGCAGTGGCATGCCAAAAAGTCCCTTTGCAAAAAGCTCCTGGAGTGTGACACACCAAAACGCCCCTTTGCAAAAGGCTCCTGCAGCACAGTGTGTCAAAAAGCCCCTTTGCAAAAAGCTCCTGGAGTGCAGCATGCCAAAACACTCCTTTGCATTGCGCTCCTGGATGGGGCTGGGCTTTTGTTTTGTGCTGGGGGGGGAGCCAAAAGCAGCCCCTGAGCAACAGCATGTCACAATGCCTCTTTGTGCCGCGCTCCTGGGCAGGGCTGGGCTTTTGCTTCGCGCTGTGAAACAAAAAAGACCACCAAAAGCCCAACCCAGCCTGGCCCAGGAGTGCAGTGCAAAGGTTTGGTGCTCCGCCCTCCAGGAGCTTTTTGCAAAGGGGCTTTTTGGCATGCCACGGCTCTGGGGCTGCTTTTGGCTTTTTTCTGGCACGCCTCATCAGCAGCAGGAAGAAGAAGACAGTGAAGGTCAGCTGGGGCAGCAGAGTGCAGGGCAGCAAAAGGATATAGATGGGGGCCCGGGAGATAGATGGGTGGGGGGAGTTGAAGCGCACCTGTGGTCATAAGTGCAGGTGGGCTGCCAAGTGCCCAAATTTTGATCACGTGACTGCAGGGGTGCTGCGGCCATAACTTCAGGCACTGGTCATAAGTCACTTTTTTCAGTGCGTTCGTAACTTAAAATGGTCACTGAACAAATGGTCATAAGTCAAGGACTCCCTTTAACATCATTCAAAATTCAGAGAAATGTTCATTATAAAGTGTAGAGTAAACAGGGAAATTTGCTGGTCTATTAAATTACACAAATGCATAAGTAGCATTTGCTCATATTTTCTTTTTTTCATGTCACTGGACCATGAATCGAGAAACTTAGTCCTATTAATCTACTGAACTCCTTTCAAGTGTAGGAAAGAAACTCTTAATTGTGTATTTGTGTTTTCTCCATCCCTTCAGAAACAGCCATCTACTGTATCTGATGCTTTGGATGGCCCCAGATTATTTTCCTCCAGACAAATCCAGCTCTTCCCTAGCAATCCATCTGATACAGGGGTTAGCAGAACAAAAGAGATAACCATGGAGAAGGGACAAAGAGTTAACATTTGACAGGCTGTAATACCCTGATTGCTATTTAGATGCTTGTCTCTCTTGAATGATTGTTTTGAGATGTATTCCATCTATTCGCATTACATTAACAATGGAATGCAGACCTGAGATCTCCCTTGCGATTGCACAATATCTTTAAGAAGAGATTGCGTGTATGGTTTACAGTAGCCAAGGTTATTAATTCCTGCAGACAAAAATAAATATCACCAAACTAAGATGACACAAAAACATTTTCCTTTTCTCATCTACTGCTGCCCCCACTCACTGAATTGTCAGAGTATCAGACATCACCTGTTAAGGATAAGGGTGCAGTTCAGGACACTAAAAAGGCTTCAAGGTATGCCATCAAATAATAACCTTTGCTCCATCTCCCCAATTTGTAAATACTGCTTAACAATCATGTAATGTTTGAACAAAGGTTTCAAACCAAAGTTATTATTAACAGGGAATAACAGCCTGTAAGGGAGCCACTTTGGTGTAGTGGTTAAGACACCAGGCTAGAAACTGGAAGACTGTGAGTTCTAGTCCTGCCTTAGGCACAAAGGCAGTTGGGTGACCTTGGGCAGTCACTCTCTCTCAGCCCTAGGAAGGAGGCAATGGCAAACCACTTCAGAAAAACAGGCAGTTGCCAGCATTCAAAAACTGACTTGAAGGCACACACACACACCAAAAAAAAGCCAATAACACTGGAGTTTTATTGGGGGGGAAGGGAGGGAGAATACTAGTCTGCTGACAGAGAGCAATATAAGCACCCAAAATGTTCTGTTGTTACTCATTTTTTTTGTTTTTAAAAAAATCCAAGCAGTATTTATTTCTTTATGAAATTTATCTGAATGCCTGAACTCTAGGCTCCTTACAGAATATACTTATTAAAAAGAAGGTACAGAATCAATTGATTAAAACAGTAAGAAAAATACAAGCTAAAACACTATAAAAGAAATGTTATTGCTAATACAGTTAAACCCCAAAGCCCTCTAGGAAATCCATGTTTTTCACTTGCTTCCAGAAGGCCATGAAAGTTGGAGCCATCATAATAAGCCTAAATATTTCTGTGGCCAAAATAATCTGCTGTCCCACTACTGAGAAACTCTAATTCCCTGTTTATCCAAGTTCCACCAAACCTATATTTCACTTTCTTAATGCCTATCAGCACCCTGTTCTATCCCTCCCTCATCAACATGAAAAAAAATTTCAAAGAGGCAATATATTATTAAAGGCTACATAAGGCCCAGCCATTTGCTGTACTCTAAGACATCTTGAGACAATGTAAGCATTTGGTAAAATATGGTAAGTGAAGCTGGTAAGTCATATACAGTTGTCCAACTGTATAAGAATAAGAGTTTTTTCTTACCCTCCAAAAGATCTTCATAAAGTGCATGTACTCCTTCAGGCACAATGACAGCCAAGGCAGTTCCACAAAGGAGCCCAGCACCAAGAACTGTGACCAACTTTAATCTTTCCTGAAAATAAAATGTAAAATAATTAATCAAAGGAAATTTGAAGATAAATATTGTATGTGCATGAATGTAGATATATGTGTGTGTCATACATATGGAGAAAAGCAGCCACATCCTTCATCTCCAGTGCCTACTTTAGTGGTGAGTAGCTGAAGTGTTGTACCCCTGCTGACCCCAGTTCTCCTCTCCAGCTTGGAGCTGGAAAAGGCCATAGACCTCTTTGCTATCAGACCTTTGAACCACTGCATTGCACTCTCTGTCTCATTTCCATTCCAACACAGACGAAAAAACTAGGTCTCCCTTCATTATCCTCATCCTGAATACAAAGAATAAAAATGTGGATGTTGACTCGCACAAATAAAAGAGATACAGTAATTTATTGTTTATAAGTGCATGTATCTGAATTGGTATCTCATTGAGGGCTGTTTTACACTGATATTTACATAACCCATTTGATTCTTCTTATTTCAGTAAGATGACAAATCTCAAGAAAGTAATCACTCAAGAGATTTCTGGAGTGCATATGCATAAAACACACATTTTTAGCCTGTACAATAAAAGCATATTGTCATCTTAATATATTGTACAGCTGTGAACTGTCTGTCAGAAAAGATAGATTTCTTACTTTTAAAAATTAATCCAAAGTAAAATATTTGATCATGTGAAAGCCACATAATCCCAGCCTTTAAAGATTAAGCAGACATTATTAAAAGTAACAAAAAACACATTTTATGCTTTACAGTAAGTATAGAGACACTTAATTATATACAATCGACAAATACTCTTGGAATGCTTTGAGCACCTGATGCAGTTATATTTTATTAAGGAAGTTAAGCAATACAAATCTAATCTATGCGATACATGCATTTGGGGCTTTCACAATAAGTGATTATAGCTGTTCACCTTATATTTTTTTATTTTACATGTATAGTCCAGCATTCATCTTCCTTTACAAAAGGTGAAGGCTGCTCACAACATGCTGAAAGTCTCTTTTGATTGTGGCAGCAAAGAAATATGTTTAATAAATAAATATTTGATTCATTAACTCTGAAAATGTAAGAATACTACTCAAAGAACTGGACAGGAATTTTCCATCTCAGGGTGAAACTGTTCTTCCAATAATTAGCACCATCTGTTTATGTGAAATTCTAGAAAAGTGTTACTGCATACTCTACTTTATTTAATAAATATGCGTTCAAAACTATGCATATGCTGCACTTGTAGCCCTCTGACAAGTGACTGATCTCTATCATGGCATGTTTATAGTCTGGGGGCAAATAAATCTGAGAATTCTATAACAAAAGTTTTGGATTAAGCACCTAAATAATAGAAAAACTATTGATAAAGTAATCCTATCCTCAGGCACGGTGTGGGAGAATGACACCCACTCAGAAGCCTTTGTACATTTATGGTACAGTGGGGCAAAAAAGTATTTAGTCAGCCACCAATTGTGCAAGTTCTCCCACTTAAAAA